ATCTACTCCCATTTTGATTAAATTAAAGGAACTGGGTTTATTTCAACAGAGAAGGCAAAGAGGAAACTAAAAATTAACATTCAAATTGCAATCGGCAATTTCTACTTTCCCTATAAATAGTTATGTTTTAAAAGTAACATTTAAGTTTGACATTAAGGACACTCAATTCTAAGGATCATAAGCCAGAACTAATGAAGAGTCTCAGGGCAGTTTAGAGAAAGAGAACAATTATTTTTTCTGGTGGGAGGCAGTCCTATCTAGGCATAGGGGGCTAGACTAGATCACCTCAGATCTTTCCAGTCTGTAATACAAAGATCTAAAGGCGGGGGGGGGGGGGGGGGGGCCGGAGGAGAGGAGTGGAACAAAGGAAACATATACACAAATTCTAAAGTAAAAACACTTGATGGCCAAATTCACGCCTTGGAAACGCATGTCAGACAGATATCTTGCCATCTGTTATTTTTTTAATGAGGAAAATAAAAAGTCTTTAAGAAAACACAATTGACTGCAATCTATAAACAGCTTCAAGTTTGCTATTGACAAACCATGGATATTGTTAAAAAATAAGCATAAATTGAGATGCTGAATTTACAGTTTGCAGAGGGATTTTAAGGTTTGTAGGACTCTTTTCTGATTTTTCCTACCTGTTCAGTACATATTGGAAATAGCTCCCCCATTTTACACAAATAAACTGAGGCTGAGTCATGACTTGCCATCATGGAGCTGGTGTCTAAGCCACGTTTTGAATACAGGTCTGACTCTAAGTCTGCATTCTTCTATTTCACAGTATTATTGTAAAGACTCAAAGCAGGTCATGGTCATGTGTTTTTAAAAGTACAAACTCATAAGCATTATTTAGTACCTTATTTCAAAGGGTTCAAATTGGTTCACGTTGTGAAGTTTTTTCCACACACACCCATTACCCCACTCAAAGAACCAAGGACACAAAGACCTTTTCCCTGTATTTTTGCATTCAGACTCATCAGGGTGGGTAGTTGTGCCACAATCATTTTTCCCTAGCCAAAAAGCAGTTATTACTGATAGATAAGTGTGACACTGAATGGCTAAGTAACCAATATTAGGCATTCACCAGTGAAGATAGTTTGCACCGCATTATGGCTCCCAGTCCAATAGTCTTTCCAGTAATTTATGCTGCTTCCCTTGTTCCCAGCAGCAAGAAGTTAAATGGGAAATTTCTAAACAAAATTGAGGACAAAATAGGGAACTTGTAAAAGGATGTGTAAGTTTAAAATATTAATAAAAAGGTCAATTAATAAAAAGGTGATATGCAATGAAAAGCATATGCCAAGGGATCCTAAGACTTATCTAAGGAGTCTTAAGGGGTTCAAGTGCTCCATACAGCTAAGTATTTACATGGTTTGGGAAATAATGAATGGGAAACCAGCCCACAAATTCCACAGGACTTATATAGAACAAGGTTCCATTTAAAAAAAAAAAACAAAACCACAAGACAGATGTCTCATCTATTCATTTTCAAATTGTCAAACTGGGATCACATAAACACCACATTTCTCATTTTTATTTCAACATTTAGGATATTCACAGATGGAGCATTATATTCTCCATGGCAGACAGTACCAAAGCATACAGACATTCCACAATGGTTAACAAACTGAATTATACACTTGTAATTTGTGAATTTTTATCCCCTAGAGATAGCATTCTCATCATGTTATATCCAAACAATTTTTTAGTTTTGAGTATTTTGCTGGCCTCGTTTCCATTCGAAGAAATACCTAAAAAGGAGTACATAGTACAGGCATACTCAAATTGCATTTACATTTTCCAATGATGATTTTTCACCCTATTGGCATTTATCAGACATAAATCATACTGTATACATCAACGATAAACTATTAGACCAGTGTGAACCATGTAGCATATTCAACCAGTCAATGGCCTCAAATATTTTATTCAAAGACTTTATTCTGTATCACCCAATTCCAAATACGGTTTCTGAGTTGTCAATCTACCACAATGATCTATTCAACTCTTGATTCTTTTGAACACTGAATTTTACTAATATTGGATAGCTTTAATTTTTATGGGGTATACACCAAATCTTAAAACACCACAGCACAATGCACAGCTATCAAGGAACAATGTTGCCTAAAAACTCAGTAAAACAGACAACGTACATTATCTATTCAAACACTTCTTCCAGACCCCAAGGAACACTTAAAAAATTTGCTTACAATTCCATATAACTTCTTATGTTTTGGAATAAGGTTACAAAGATACTTCTGTCTTTCCTTATCAGTCAAAAAAATTCTTCTAATTTTTCTTAATATCCTTAGAGCTTTTATATAAATACTCCTTTAAGGCTTACAAAGCACTTTCCTCAGAACCAGAAGTGAACTAGTAACTCCATGTCACAGACTAGAAAACTGATATACAAAGACATGACTTGTCCATGGTCAATGTCAGAGCCCAAAATTGAACCCAGATTATAGGATCATAGCTATAGAAGGATTCTATAGGTCATCATCTAGTCCAACCCCCTCATTTTACCAAGGAGAAAACTAACTCCACATGGAGCCCCTTCTCCAGAACATGCTACTGCTTCTTCTATTTAAAAAAAGGCTGAACATCATCATAACATCTTTAAGAGCTGACAAAGTAGGTGGTTTTCTCTAAAAGACATTTTGTACTTACAAAGCATAAAAGGACAATGCATCAGGAGTTTTTTGTTGTTGTTGCTGCATTAATAATAGGTTCACACACTGGAGTAATAGGGCAATTTACTGAGGCCTAAATGTCAATACATCAGTTCTTTAAGTATCATACTTACTTCCAGGGCCAAATTTTACTTGTCAAGAGATTTTACTTTGAAGAATGATGAATATGATAATGCTTCCCTTTAACTTGTCCCAACACTTTAACCCACATAAACGGTAATAAAATTAACTGTGTGTTGAATACTCAGTGGGTGTTTTTGATCTGTCATTTTAACAGATAACAAGTTATTACTAATATCAATGCAACTACCTGTATGTATAAGTATTTTAACAAGCTGCTCAACACCTAGATTACTGATAGATTTCAGCACCACCTTCACTGTAGCAAAGTATATTAATGTGTTAGCTTACAAATCCACTTAAAGCTTTGAAATACACCTTGTTAGTCAGAAAGGAACAATACTTTTAAATCATAATAGGGTTAAATGCTTCCCTCAAAAATTGGGCAAAATTTCAGTCTAGAGGAATACAATTTGAATCTTTTGGTCTATATTATAGGTAATATTATATATCAAGAATTTCCTTATTTCCCCCAAAGTATATACTTAATCAAAATGTAATGCAAGATACTATAAGAAATCATCTAAAAAGTACAAAATCTCACTTAAAAAGAGTAACTTTCATTTATGAATCAGTAACCATATTCATTGGCCAAATAATCTTAAAATTAAGCTCTTGACTATTCTATTATAAAATACTTTCTAGACTGCAAATCCAACAAATACACTTAATAGGAAGGGCAGAGTTCCTAGGCATTCCCAGAGAACCAATGAAACACTGTCAAATATCTAATAGCCACGTGCGGTTTGCTACTAAATCCAAATCCACTTTGTCAACAAGAATTTATTCTTAAAAAACCTTTAGGAAACAATATATATGAGTAAATCATAATCGTATAGTTATATGAATTGATCTTAAAGTGCCACTACAGTAAAAGAATCTCATTTTTCATAGTCCTACCTGAATGTATATTCTATTCTAAAAATGTGATCAAGTTTGGATCATTCAAAATATAAGTATTTTTATCCCTACTTGCCTTCAGTCTAAAGCTGTATGACCGTTAGTATCCCCATCTTTTCTAACTACTCAGTTACATTTCCCTTTACCACACACAAGATTTTCACAAGTATTGCATGGTTTCATACACACACACACATACACACACACACACACCCCTATCAATGCCCTCTTCAGATCTTATAGCTATTATATTCATTATCAAAGTGTTTGTGCATTTTCTATTTCACCATTCCTGTGCCTCTCTCTTCAGACACAATAGGGGAAAGGAGCTAAAAGCTAACTAAGTGTAGGTCAATCAAATCCACTTTAGGTGCATGTTGGCACTAAGAGCATGGCCAAAACACTATCACTACCAACATACTAATGTGGGAGAAACCATAGAAAACAAGTATCAGCCTATTCTTATAAAAGTTTACTATAATAATATAGCAACATGGTTAAACATAATTATTTCTCTGATGACAAAGTTTATATACTATCGTACTCTCGGATAGCAAAGTCTATATACTATCCATACTCTCCATATCTAAAATAAAAAGTTAGGACCAGTAAACTTTCTGGATTTTTATTAAATCCTAATCTGAGGTAATTTAACAATAATATCTGATTTTACAGACATCATCCTAAAATCTGTAAACATCTTTCAAAAGTAAAGGCAAATTAAGACTTTCATATCATGATTTTCTGCAGACTAAACAAGGTGGCTTGGTAACTAACACAAAATTCTGGGGCAATTAATATACATTTGCTTGGAGTAAATACAAGCAAAGTTCATTTTTAAGTGTAAAGCAATATTATTACAGTAGAATTAATTCTAAGGCTTCCATATACAGTGTTTAAATTGACAATTTGTACCTAAATAAGTGATACCTTAATATTTCAATACCACTGAAGTCTCTAAAAGCTAATATTACATCATTAAGGGAAAAAAGTGAAATTAAGTTTCAAAAAAACAAGCCACCCTAGGGAAAAACAAAAGAAATAAAGGGGGAAAGAAGTAAAATTATGACAGTGGAAAAAGTTAAAGTCAAATCAGTTTTGGATATTTGGATATTTTGAAGAGAAAAGATAAGCTCTAGCTTTCACAAATCAAAAGTTTATTGTTAAATTCAACGCTATTCAATGCCTTCTTAACATTAGTTGAGCTGAAACTAAAAGATCTACAAATTAATATTGGCCTTACCAGTAACCAACACTTCTGATCAAAAAAGGCCACAACAGTTAGATTTTATTACTTGATTTTATTTTACACCAGGTGGTGATGCAAAGCATTCCTTTTTAATAAAGTATAGACAATCAGCTTCACTCAGAATACATTTTTAATGCACATTTAAAAAAAAGGATTCATCTTACAAATTGTTTTGCAATCCAAATATACAATAGCTTGGAAAACAAATAGTTTAGAAAACAAAAGCCAATGTAAAAAGACTGATTAAAACAACTAAAACAGTACAGGTTTCATATGGCTCTGATTTTACAGTTTTCTTACTGCATCATCAATATCAGAAATCTGTTCCTTCAGCTGGCTCCATTGTTCTGGATTTAAAGAAATACCTAAAACATATTTTTTTAAAAATAGAGTTAAAATTTACTTTTAGTGCAGATCTTTACAAATGAAACTTTACAACTGAAACATCACAATTTAAATTTTTAATTCATCAATCTTGAATACCATTAAGAGTTTAAAAAAAAGTTATTACTGCTATGTAGTAATTTCTCTACAAAGCCTTTTCTGGCCACCCCAAATAAGATCATTATTGCTTACACACCATCTCCACTTTGACTGACTAGTGTATCTTTCAATTTTTAAACATGTTCCTGTGCAATCTTGATAAATAATCAGAGCAAATGACAATATGCAGCTATAGCACAGTCACCAGGAAAGTAGCAAACCAAGCAGACATGTACAAATTTGCTGAGCAACAACCAAATTCAGTGGCGAGCAAGGTTTTCTCCAAAGGTCCCTAGGAACCCAGGAAATTCACTTAGTTCTAGAGCGTTAAGCAGGTCTTAGGGTACAGGCCCCAGGCCAAGACTCTTCGGACATCTCTGATGAAGCTAACTTGGGGCAGGGAGACCACAAAGTGCAAGATATATTAAGTAGTATTTCTCAAAACTATATAACACACTAAATAGTCACATTTCACTAAGTTCTGGAGGTTACAAAACCTAACAGTACAAATGAAGGGACAGTGATCACTCAAGATAGTAAAGAAAGCAAACTTCTTTTTTACGATCACATCTCCAGAAGTTAGCATAGGCCAATAAAAATATATGGTACATTAGCAAACTATAATATTTTATACAAAGTTATCACTACGGGTGCAATTAACTATTAGAGCTATACACCCATTCACGTTGTCTAAATTTGGATGTAAGTTCATAAAGGCAAGTATTATATCTTTGTCTATCTTATTCTCCAAACCTCCAATATTTAATGCATTAATCCTATGAATAAATAACTGGAGAAAAAATTAATTTTGGAGATTTCTGTATGCACAGGGGCAATAACAAAACTGTGAAACGTATTAGGGAACTAGGAAAAGACTAAACTATTCAAATAGTTTAACATTTGCAGCCAACAAAAAAATCTGTCTAACATGCTGGACTGACTACTGCTGAAAGCAGAAAGGGAAAGAAGGCAAATGAGACACCAATATTCAAGACGATCTGAACAAAAGATTTAAAGGTGATAGATGTAGAAAAAACAATAAAATTTAATAATACCATATGCGAGATAATGAAATTGTATATAAAGAGGGAGGACAGCAAATGGAACACTCCAAATGACAGGGAAGTGGGGTAAAGAATAGAAAAAATAAGCAGCATTTTTTCTCAAGTTAATATTTTCAGGCAGTCCAAATGGTTGTCCATATGTTCACGTGGCTGCTGTGTCTAGATTCGCTCACTGTTTGATGTGTGCGCTACTTCTATTACAGAATAACTCTTACTTTGGATTTAGTGACTCACCAACCACTATCGGTTTTATAACCTCTCTCTAATCACTCCTTAACAAGACCTCCATCTCCTTCCCACTGTTAGAATTAAGTTTTCTCCAAGTCCCATCCTTGGCCCTCTTCTCTTCTCTCAGGATTCTCTTCCCTATGCAAATTCATGGACTTACAAAACTTCAAGAATCCCTTCTATGCAGGTAAATTTCCAATTTGAATCTCCAGAATGAATCTCTCTTCTAATCTCCAGTCACCTCTCTACCTGCCTATTACACAGTCCCTACCTGGATGTCATTACCACCAGTATTTCTAAATCAATATGTCTAAAACTGAGCTCATTATCTTCTTCAGTAAACATTTCTCTCTCTAGCACCACCACTCATACCCTCACAAATCTGAAGCCATGGAATCATTCCAATTCTATCTCCATAAGTCTCATAACTATCCCCTCCTTTTTAATTTCCATTGCCACTATACCATTCTTCAACACAAACCACTTAGGCCATTGTAATGGCCCCCTAATATATTTTACCTTCAATTCTTCCCCCTTCTAATTATCCTTCATACAAATGCCAGACTAATCCTTATGGGGAGATAAGGTGATGTCATTCCTAAGTTCAGTAGCTCCCTACTGCCTACAAAGTAAAGTGCATAGAATTCCTTAGGGAGCAACTAGTCCTACATCCTCATCTTATAGATGAAGACACTAAAACACAGGGAAGTTAAGAGATTTACCCAAGGTCATGCATGTTAGAACTGGGATATGAACACAGGCTATGAGACTCTATAGTCAGTGTTTTGTTTTGTTTTGTTTTTCATTACAACGCCTCTAACATTCAAGGCTTTCCACAATCTAGAACCATCTTACCTTTCCAGTCTTATCTCTTACTATTCTCCCCTCCATCCACTCTATGTGCCAACCAAACTAAACTATTCTCTCTCCCCCTAATACACTCTGAACTTTGCCAATTCTATGACTGTGATCCTGTTGTAGTATAATGAACAGAACACACTGGACTTGGGAATCAGGAAGACCTGAGTTCAAGGACTGCCTCAGATACTTACTACCTATGTGACCTTGGGCAAGGCATTTAACTTCTTTCAGCCTCAGTTTCCCCAACAGTAAAATGGAAATAATAACACCTACCTCCCAGGGTCACTGTGAAAAACCAAATGAGACTATATAAACTTTAAAACACTATATAAATGCTGATTATTTTTCCCTATGCCTGCAATGTTCTCTCTCTTCAATTTAACCTACTGCATTCCTACCCATCGTCCTTAAAGACCAAATAATATGCTACTTCTTCCATGGAACCTTCCCTAATTTCCACCAACTAGCAATGATGGCTCTCCTCCCTTAAGCCACACAAAACACTTTACTCTGCACCTTAATAAACTGATTTAATTATTCATGTTATGGTAATTTGTGTTTCTGTCTTACATTGCCACTAGAATAAATTCAACAATGTAGCATGCCACAAGTCTTAGGGTCAGGTGAGCCCTGGGTTTGAATTTCAACTCCTGGAACTTAATAGGGATTTGATCCCCCAAGCAAGTCACCTCTCTGAGGTTGTTTTCTTATCTATAACACACACTACCTCAAAGGCACATTTCAAAGAAAGTGTTTTGTAAACTTTAAAGCACTATAAGAATCATATGAATTTTTATTATTGTTCTATCCCTCAAGCACCTAACACAATGTTCTGCACACAAATGGCCCTTAAATAAATGTGTGTTGAATTGAAAAATGAATTAAACTATTTCCTTAATTCAAGAGCAAAATTAAATCTTCTTTTTCCTTTGTGGCACCTAATATGGGACTCAATAAAGCAGGTGCTCAACAAATGCTTCTTGAATAAACAAAGATTTAAATAAAACAGATGTGAGACAAGATGAAGAAGGGAAAGGTCAGGGATAAGGATAAATATCAACAATTAATCTCTCTTACAGATCAAAGACAGAGAATATGTCCCTTCTAGGGAAGGGAACCTAAAAAAAAAAAAATAGTATTCCCAACTAATTTTGTGACAGTCCAGTTGGCCTCCAATTATCCCAAGTAATTCTGTAAAACAAAATAATTTAGGCCAAAAATAATTAAAACTTGATGGTTCATAAAGGGATATGTTGGAAGTTCTCTCGACTACAATCAAAAAATGTTACATTAAACTTTATGTGAATATATATAATTTTTAAATCTGTGCAATAACAGATCATGTTTAAAATTTCTAACTAGAACATATCCACAAGGGTGTCTAGGAGTAACAGAATAAAGTTAATCTTAACATTCTTAGGATTTCACAAGTGAAAGAACTCTTTCCACTGATAATTCACAATTCCTCCTTGCCTGAGTAGATAATTTCATGAGTTTCTGTGGCCACAAAGTTCAATCACTTTGTAACCAACTTTCTGGTGACAGGCTTGATGACCATAGCTGAAGTCTTTCCTCCATAGCAGTACCTGCCATGACACAACAGACCCTACTGGTATAGCCAAATAGCCTAAAAGAAGTTAAGGTCACCACCTACAGGCCAAAAGGAAGCTTTTTTTTTAAATCTTACACTAATATAAGTACATAAAGAGGAGATTTATTTAACGTTCATATTAATGATAAAATTACCTCATAAGAAATCGAAGTAATTAGGTTTTAGGAACATCATACAGACAAGAACTCTATATATTCTATACTATATGTATTCTTTAGAGACATATAAGTGTGGTTCCATTGTAACAATCCCCACAGACAGTTATCTTTCAAAGGAAAAAAAAAACTCACCTTTTCTACCAGGTTTCATTTCACCTTCCTGATCCATCCAGTATTCTCTAATATCAATTAGGACTTTTCCTTTAAAGTCCCGAACACTGACATATCTCATTTTTCCAATCTGCAAATAAAATAAGCTCATGAAAGATTCCTATAGATATTTGCACAATAAATTGTGTACAGATGTAAACCACATTAATTATTGAATATTTTCACTAAAACTACTTGATTCTATTATATGATTATGAAAAATCTCATGACTACTATTTGACTACTGTTCTCAATAAAGTCAAAGCATATACATAATAAAATTCAATAAAATTTCTCTTAAAAATCTTCCAAATATTTTCAAAAACAGCTAGGAACATTAAAAACTAAATATAATTTAATTTTTTAAAAAACAGGTAGGAACAAAGGAAAACATTTACGAAACTTGCATTAATAAATTTGGAAAGGAAACTATTGTCTTGGGTTTTTTTTAAATAAATTTCTATTGATGTCTACTGTTTCTTACATCATCATAATTATCCCAGTGTCCCCTCTGACTCCCTTTCAGAAAGTCATCCCACCTATCAAGTAGTATTTTTTTTTTTTTTTTGCTTTTTAGTAAGGCAATCAGGGTTAAGTGACTTGCCCAGGATCACACGGCTAGTGAGTATCATGTATCTAAAGCAGGATTTGAACTCAGGTCCTTCTGACTCCAAGGCCGAAGCGCTATCCACTACACTACTTAGCTGTCCCTTCAAGCAGTATTTTTTAAAAAGAAAAAAAAAAATCAACACAATTGATTGACATATGAAAAACATGTACAATGTTAACACCTGTCACTTCTACAAAGGAGTAGGCTATGGGTTTCCCCGCTAAATCTTCATTTGAGTCACAATTGATCTTTATTATTTCGTTACACTCACTTCTGATGGGGAGGATGGTTGTTCTTTCCATTTCGGAATTGTAATTATTATATATATTATTTACTTGGCTCTGCTTATTTCACTCTGCATCAGTTCATATGGATCTTTCCATGCTCTGCATTTATCACACAGATCATTTCTAATACATAGTAATGTTCCACTACATTCATGTACCAAATATGATTAGCCATTCCCCAATCAATGGGCATCTATTTTGTTTCCAATTCTTTGTTATCACAAAAAATGTTGCTATAAATATTTTGGTGTTATATGGGTACTTTCTTCTCACTGATGATTTCCTTAGAGTATAAGCCCAGTAATAGTTTCTGGTTCATAGGATATGGGCTTTTTATTCACTTTATTTACATAATTTCAAATTGCTTTCCAAAATCATTGTACCATTTCACAGATCCATTACCAATGGATTAGTGTGCCTATGATTCTACAACCACTCCAACATTGACTATTACCATTTTTTGTCATCTTTGACAAATTACAGTGTAAAATAAAACCTTATTAGTTGTTTTCATTTCTCTTGTGATTTAGAGTATTCTTTCATGTGGTTGTGAATGCTTTGCAATTCTTTTGAAAACTGTTCATATCCTTTGACCACTTATCTATGGGGAAATGGCTACAACTCATATATATGAGTGTGTGGGTGTATACATGTGTGTATGTGGGTATATACAATGTTTATATTAGTTATCTATACAATTTATCAACCGTTTATATGTTTAATATTATCAATATGTTTAATTTTATCAAAGAGATTACACAAAGATTTTTTCTCATTCTACCACTTTCTTTCTTAGGTGCATTAATTTTGTCTGTGCAGGATCTTTTCAGTTTCATATAATCAAAGTAATCTATTTTATAATTGCCACTTTCTCTTACTTGGCTAAGAATACTTCTCCTACTCATAGCTTTGAGAGGTACATAATTTGTTTCTCTTCTAATTTTTTTATCATATGATCTTTAATATTAAAGTCACATATCCATTAAAATGTTATCGTGAAGTACAGTGTAAGGTATTGGTCTAAACCTAATTTCTGCCTGACTGATTTACAGTTTTCCCATCAGTTTTTATCAATTCAAGAGTTTTTTCCTAAGTAATTTATGTTTTCCCCTTTATCAAACACTGGATTATTGAGTTCCATTGTTTCTGATTCTCCTTTTTCTAGTATGTTCTAATGATCAAATATTTTAATCAATACCAGATGATTTTGATGACTGATGCTTTAGAATAGTTTGATGTCTAGAAATGCTATTCTCCTTTCATCCAGTTTCTTTTCATAATTTTCTTCAACATTCTAGATCTTTTGTTAATGAACTGTTATTATTTTATCAAGTTCCATAAAATATCCCCTTGAAAATTTGATAAGTATAGGAAACCATCATCTTTGAAAGAAAACTCTTTAGAGTATAAACTACAAGGATACATATTCCCAACAAATACTAAGTGATAAAATGCACAAATTTAATGCTTTTTGTTTATAAACAGTTGATAAATATGCACATATAACTAATACAAACATTGTATACACATACGTGTATACACACACACACATATATGAATAATATTTCCCCACAGATAAGTGGTCAAAGGATATGAAGAGTTTTCAAAAGAAGAACTGCAAAGAATTCACAACCACATGAAAGAATACTCTAAATCACAAGAGAAATGAAAACAACTTTTAAGGTTTTACTTTACATTCTGTAATGCTAGTTCCAGAGGAGACAGCAATCAATGAGCATATATTAGGTGCCTATTATGTGACAGGCACTATGCTAGTGACTAGGGATACCAAGACAGAAATAAGTCTCTACCCTCAACAAATTACTTCCTATAGGAAAAGACCATATATCCAACTTGTAAAATATAAGTATTTAAAAATTACATACAAAGTAATTGTATTTTCAGTAATTGGTATGGGGAGAGCATTTATAGCTAGAGGTGGGAGAATCAGAAAAGGCCTCTCATAACAAAGACTGCTTCCACTGAGTTTTGAACGCAACTAGTGATTCTGACAGGAAGAGGCAAGGAGAGAACGCATTCCACGCATGGGGGACAGAAGCCCCTGTGAATGCAGTTAAGACGGGAAATGGGAGTGTCATGTGTGAGGAACAAAAAAACTAGCATAGTACACAAAGAGGTTATAAAAAAGTTTTTAACGGATTGGGGCTGTGAGAGCTAAAGAAAGCTTTTCCTTTTAGACATTTTTTTTAAGTTTTGATTACCACTTGTTTGGGGGAAATACAAATTTAAATGGATTACTAAAGTGATCAAGATACAAAATAGAAAATTAGAGATACCATTTCATGCAAAATGGAAGAAGGTGGCATATAAAGAAGTAATAAATGCTTTAAACACGGACTAAAGTAATGGCTCATAAAATAAGCTGACCAGCTTATGTTTTACTAATTGATGATAATTTTTAAAAAGACAACTTTGGTTTTTTCTGATGTAAAAAATTACATATTTTGTATATTCTTTTACATTATTCTTTATTGTATATTATATACATATTATACATATGTGTATATATATATATTATACAATATTCTGTACATTCTTATGCATATACACATCTCCTAGTATAGAATATAAGCTCCTTAAGACCGGGGATTGTTTCCTACTTGTCTTTGAATCCCCAATGCTTGGCACATAAAAGGCCCTTAATAAATGCTTCTTGATTGAAGAAGGTATCTAGCAAATGACCTGTTAGAAAAATAAACATTAATTAAGTGCTTACTAAATGTCAAGCTGTTTGAGTGCTAGAGAAAACTAAACTATTTCTATGGCCTGCCCAATAATCCTAAAACTGTTTTCCTGAAATGAACTTTAAAAATTCTTTTAAACCAAAAACTTTACATAACAGATTTTTGTTGTCGTTCAGTTGTATTCAATTCTTTGTGACCCCATGGACTACAGCACACCAGGCCCTTCTATGCTCCAGTTTCTCTTTAAGTCTTGTCCAAGTTCATGTTGTGCTTCCATGAAACCATCTACCCATTTCATCCTCTGCCATCCCCTTTTCCTTTTGCCTTCAATCTTTCCCAACATCAGGGTTTTTTCCAGTGAGTTCTGTCGTCCCATTATGTGGCCAAAGTATTTAAGCTTTAGCTTTAGCATCAGCATCTGACCTTCCAGTGAACAGTCTGAATTAATTTCTTTTAAGTATTGACTGATTTGACCTTTTTGCTGTCCAAGGCGCTCTCGTAAGTCTTTTTCAGCACCACAATTCAAAAGCATTGATTCTGTGATGCTCAGCTTGCCTTATAGTTCAACTCTCACAGCCATACATTGCTACTGGAAAAACCATAGCTTTGACTATATGGACTTTTGTTGGCAAGGCGATGTCTTCGCTTTTTTTAGTACATTATCCAGATTTACCATAGCTTTCCTTCCAAGGAGCAAGTGTCTTTTAATTTCATGGCTGCAGTTGCCATCTGCAGTGACCTTCAGGCCCAATATAAAATCTGATACTGTTTCCATTTCTTCTCTTTCTATTCACCAGGAAAGGATGGGACCAGTTGCCAAGATCTTAGTTTTTGGTTTTTGGTTTGTTTTTTTTTTAATATTAAACTTCAAGGCAGCTTTTATACTCTCCTCTTTCACCCTCATCAAGAGGCTTCCTATTCTTCACTTTCTGCCAAAAGAATGGTATCTGCTGCATTTCTGAAATTGTTGATATTTCTCACGGCAATCAGCTTTTGATTCATCCAGCATGGCATTTCACATGTTGTATTCTGCATATAAGTTAAATAAATCAGGTGACAATACACAGCCTTGTCATATTCCTTTCCCAATGTTTCACATTTGGTTCTGACTGTTGCTTCTTGGCCCACATACAAGTTTCTCAGGGCCTAGTAAGATGATCTGGTATTCCTATCTCTTTGAGGACTTGTTGTGATCCACACAGTCAAAGGCTTTAGTGTAATCAATGAAGCAGAACAGATGTTTTCCAGAACTCCCTTGCTTTCTCCATAATCCAGCGAATGTTGCCAATTTGGTGTCTAGTGCCTCTGCCTCTTCAAAAACCAGCTCGATCTTTTCAGACTCATTGGACATTTCTCGTCCTTCTGTACTCTATAACCAATCCAAATTGGTCTTCTTCCTGTGCCTCATACGCAACACTTCATCTTCCACCTCCATACCTTTGCACTGGCCATTCCCTCATGTCTGGAATGTACTCCCTCCTTACCTCTGCTTCAGTGCCCCTATCTTTCTTGGAAAATGCCACTGAGACACCATCTTTTACATGAAGCTTTTCCTGATACTCCCAACTGCCAGAGAGAGCCCTCTTTCCAAAACTACCTCGTATTTAACCACTTTGCATATATTTGTATTTACTAACTTTATATTTATGGTGAATATATTTTACATGTACTACTTATATCCTCCATTAGAATACAAACTCACAGAAAAGTAGGAACTGTTTCATTCTTTATACTTGTATTCCCAGTACCTAACAGTGCCTGATATACAGTAGGTGCTAAATAGATATTTGATATTGATTGGTAAGCATGTTAAGAGTACTTTTTTACATTTAACTAAACAAATGTCAAGCATAAGAGATCTGATACATTTCAACATCAGAATGGAAAGAAATCTTACTAACATCATGTATTTCAGGTGTCAGAACACTGGGCGAATGTATTCCCAGCCCCACCTTTCAAGATGCCTTTACTTCATACTCCCACTCTAGCAAATATCTCCTCTATGCATAGATTAGATAAGCAACAAGAAGAATTACTTTTATTATAAATTGCATATAAACATTATATAATCTCACAAAGCATATTCCTATTATTTCAGGCCTATCAGGTAACCTTGGTTATATTATTTTACCCTTTGCTTTGCTCACAGACTGAAAAGATGGGGAAAATATGAAACACCTTCTCCTTCCCCCAGTCCTCCCAACACACAAAAAGGGCAAACCGGTTACTTATTATCTCTAAACAACTTTGATCAGTTCTTCAGAAACAGGCCCTGGCTCATAGAGTCATCATTAATAACTGTGTATTCAGCTTCACAAAGAGACACTAAGTTCTCATCAAATCTATTTACTTGTCCCTAGATTCAGGATTCTAAGTCATTAGAGAGGGATTTTTTTTTTTACAATACTGCTTCAGTGAATTAAATCCTATAATAACCTCTGACTAACAAAATTGTACTTTAAAAAACTTTACAGTCATAAAGTCCTCATTTGTACCTAACAGAAAATCTCCCTTGCCATAATTTAAGATTGCCGTCACTTGTTTTTTTCAGGGTTTGAGGGAGTAAGAGAGGCAATTTTTCTCCTGGTCCTTAAATTGTCTTCCAGGACAAGAAAAACTGCTCTAATAAGCTCCTTTTTTCCAAAATACTATCATTTTTTATGAATCCTTATTTCTCTTTGGAGAGGTAGCCTTGACACTTGGGAGTCTGGAGACACTTGGGTTAAAAATCTCACTTTAGGGGCAGCTAGGTAGCACAGTGGATAGGGCTCTGGCCTTGGAGTTAGTAGGACCTGAGTTCAAATCTGGTCTCAGATACTTGACACTTACTAGATGTGTGACCCTGGGCAAGTCACTTAACCCCAACTGCCTCACCAAAAAGCAAAAACAAAAAATCTCACTTTAAATACATACTAGTTGTGTAAGCATAGATATATCATTTAACGTCTCTGAAGCCATATTGTCTTATGTATAAAATGGCAATGGGAACATCTCTAATATTTATTTTCCAGAGCAACTGTGACAACCAAACATGATAATATATGTAAAGTGCTTTGAAAACTTTACAGCACTACATAAAGGTCATCCATTATTATTTCTGATATACCTGATAAATATCTCCCTCTTGAAACTCACATTCTTCTAGTCCTGTGATACTTTACCCTCCATATTTTCTTCTTCTCTCTTAATCTACATTTTCTTTGCTCTTCTACCTTCTACCTATTGGCTATAAGTCTTCATAGAAGCCTTAATACATACCCTCTTACACTTTTTCTATACTCACTTCTTCAGAGAGCTCATCCAATCTTAAGGCTCTCACTTTCACCCATGATTCCCAAAATCTACATTTCCAGCCACGAGTTCTCATTTATTCTGGTACAGAATGTTCTGTTGTACACTATAAGAAGACTAAAGAATTCAAAGAAACCTGCGAACACTGAGGAACTGATACAGAGAAAAGAAAGCAGAACCAAAACAAGTCACACCACAATGATCACAATAATGTAAAAGAAAACAACGCTAAAAAAAAATGAGAACTCTGATCCACTGCCTTTAAGATTCCTTCCTTCTAGGTGAATCAATCAAATATTCATTAAGCACCTAATGGGGATTTCAACGACAAAGAATGAAAACACTCTACACTTAAGGGGTTTACATTCTAACTGGGAGGACAACAAGTGCTTATATAAGGACAAACAGACTATAAAAAGAATAAATACAAAGTAGAAAAATAGGGGACAGCTAAGTGGCACAGTGGATAGAGCACTGGCCCTGGATTCAGGAGGACCTGAGTTCAAATCTGACCTCAGACATATAACACTTACTAGCTGTGTGACCCTGGGCAAGTCACTTAACCCCACTGCCTAGCCCAAAAAGAAAAAAAAAGAAAGAAAAAGAAAAAGAAACTGTGGTTTGGAAGGGAGGACAATGGCATTGGGAGTATCAGAAAATGCAGATGATGCTTGAGCTGTGTTTTGAAGGAACAGAGGGATTCTATGAGGAAGAGGCTAAGGAAAGAACAGATTCTAAGCATGACAGAATGGCCAGGGGAAAGAAGTGATGTGAACAAGGAACAAAGAGAAGGCCTATTTGGCTGGATCTCAAAAACTCAGGAAGAGGAAATAACATATAATTGGAACTGAAAAAATAATTGGGGACACATGTCAAAAGCTAAATAGAGAAATTTATCTCAGAGGCAACAGGCAGCCCCTGGAGGTTGGTGAGCATGGGAGTAATACAATTAGATAAGTACTTAAAGGAATAGTGATGGGAAACACAATATATAAATAAATACGTAGATAGAAGATACATATGGCAGAAGGATAAGCTTATTTTAAGTGGTCTTTGTATCCAGTTGTCATCTTGTCTCCCAACCCCAAGGAACAAACCATCCTATACACTAATGCTAGATTACCCTTCCTAAAACAATGCTTTCATCAAACCATTTCCCTCTGTAAGACCCTAAAGGCCCTATAAAAAAAAAAAAAACTCCCTATTGCTTATCAAAACAAGATCAGACTCCTTCAGGGGCAGCTAGGTGGCGCAATGGGTAGAGCTCTGGCCTTGGAGTCAGGAGAACCTGAGTTCAAACCCAGCCTCAGACACTTGACACTTACTAGCTGTGTGACCCTGGGCAAGTCATTTAACCCCTACTGCCTCACCAAAAAACAAAACAAAAAAAAAAAGATCAGACTCCTTCAAGGAGGCATTCAAGGCCTACCCATGAGGATACAATTTGCCTAGCCATATTTCTCACCCTAATCCTTCCTGATTAGAATCAGGCAGGCCTCCTTATCATCTCCTTCACAACAAATTCATTCCTACTTCTCTCTTTGATTATTCAATTACCCCAGCGAGATGCTAATAAAGTCTATCTATCCTTTAAAGCTCAGTTCAAGACTCACTCACAATTTATTTATCACTTTTAATTTCTGTAACATTTCTTTTGTGGGAATTGCCATCTAGCTGTTTCACAAAGTATTTTTTTAAATCAGGCAACACACATACAACTTCAGCCATAATATTCCAGCTATCTTATGCTAATTCTCAGTGTTGCCCAAACAACTATTTCACTTGAAAGAACAATGAAATGTTCCAACTTTCAACTAAAATGATGATGACTGTACAAGAAAGTCATACAATTACATAGGATCAGATTTAGACTGGGTAAGGAAGTTACCAAAACCAAACTCTTTATTTCATAGGATAGACACTCAGGGTGTCTTATCCAGTGATTTACCCAATATTACAGAGTAATAAATACCAGTCAGGATTCAAAACCCAACCCTGTCATTCTAAATCAAGTGTCCTTTCTATTTCCCTTTTATTTCACGATCTTCAGCACCAAAATATACAGGAACTGCTCTGATTCTAAGTATACCTAACCGTCAGTTTTACCTGGAACATGTGATCATCTCGACTGCTGCTTTGCTTAGATGAAGCTGGTGCTTTAGAACTTTCTCCTGTCTTCTGCTTCTTTATGGGTTTTTCCGGAAGAGCTTGCTTTTTCCTCTTTGCCTTAAAATACAAATTTTAAATATGGTCAAAGTATGCAAACAGAAAACATATTTTTAAGTTCAACATGATTCCACAGCTGATACAACCACAAAAAAAAAATCCCAAATGTGGGGGCACTTTTAAAAGGAGTAACCTCATTTATTCATTAGGAACATAGTCTTCAATCCATATATATATATGGTAAAAATGAGTAGTAGGTTTTCTTATTTAAATGTATTACTTATACTTTTTTCTTTAAGATCACTGTAATTTTCCAATGACTTCTGTGAGAATAAGACACAAATTCACCACAAATAAGTACAGTCAAGCCAAAGCAATCAGCACTTTGGTGAACTGGCCAATTCTGACAGTTCTCCATCTCCACTGAGAGGTAAGAGACATTCTTAATCAATAGTCCTCTGAAGTCACTATTGGCAATACAGCTTGAATAAAGACTAAAACCGTGGCTGAAATTTGTGACCATTAAGTTATATTAGTTATTAAATTGTTTGTTATTTATTTAGAGCAAATCACACAAGTATATAGTAAACTAATGAGGAGGGCAATTTAGAACACTCCTACCACATACTGAACAGAACAAAATAAAGAGACATTTTGGGCAGGGCTCTTAAAGTTAACATCTTAGACTTTTACAATGTATTATGAGCATTTATACAGTGATATTATAGAAACCCTCAAAATAATGATGATATTTTTCAATGTTATATTAAAAGCTTTCTAAACAGTCATTGAAAATTAACCAAAAAGCCCTAATAGTATTTAACTAAAATCCTTCCCTAAATCAGTAGAGGGCAGTCATGATCCTTAACTGGAAAAAAAAATGCCCTTTTTTATGGGGGAGTGAAGGAGACACCAGTGAGATCTCACTAGTACTGGGAATTCCTAGCCAGGGAACAACTTATACCAATAGGAATGAAATTGTTCCATAACTTACAGTCTTAGAGTGTAAAGCACTGAAATGTTACATTGCCACAATATGTCAGATAGGTGAGACTTAAGTACATAAAACTATGTTTTCTTGACCTGTGTTCACTAAACCATACTGCCTCTCACTATAGCAATAAAATTATTATATTCAGCATTTTACTGGGTATGATGAAAGAAAACTAAAAAGCTTCAATGAATTAAAGTGAAGCATAGTCAGGATTTGTAGTATCATTTAGATCTAAGTAATTAAAATTAGCTCATCATGCAGAAGCCTATTAATGGGTAAATTAAAAGCACTTTAGTCAAATCGAGAGTTTTCCTCTTTATTCTACCTTCTTGAATATCAAAGCTTTGTTTCAGTATTAAGGCTAAAAGATCTCTAACATCTTTTTAAGGCTCTAAATAACTAAATATAACTTTTCCAAAATTCTTTCATTTTCATTTAACAAACAGAGATGCAACAGATGAAAAAATTGGAAGCCAAAAAGCATTAAGTCTACATACTGCATGTGCTTACAGAATTACCACAAACAAGTTCAGTCAGGTTACCTTTGCTGGAAATAAAATGCTTTCAGAAGAAATTGGCAGCTAAAAAGATTCCAATAATCAGATATCTAATACAAATTTTAAAAAACTTATTATTTTGACAGGAATAGAAAGGTTATTGTGTTTCTTGAGGTATCTGGTAGCTATCTCAACAAATAAGCAGCATGGTTACTGGAAAACTTGACCTATTTCATCATATTTATTTACAAACAAATAGTTCCATTCAAACTACACATAATGCAAAGTGTACCAAACATAAAATTCAATCAAGTGTTATAGGCAAAATTAATATTATAATGTTAAACAATAGCTTGGAGGTGATGGTTAAGACTATCAAATCAACCACAGGGCACAAAGAATTCAAGGATGGTTTAGTCTCATTACTGAATATAGGCATCATGGAAGAAAAGACAGAATGCTAAACTTAAAGAGGAAGGAAGACCTGGATTCTAATCAACTTCTGACATTTACCAGCTGTGTAACCATGGATAAATGACTTAACACCTCTTTAAGCCTCAGGCAATTCTCTAAGAATTCCAGTAAGCTATAGAAATAAAAGCAGTGATCTGTTCCCACACCAATAAAATTACAGACCTTTGACATATATACAGATATATCCCAACATTCTCTAAAGCAAAGGAAAATGATATACTAAGACTTAGAACCAGAGCAAATAGTGGCTTTGACCCACCCTCCTTCCATTGTCCTACAGAGATATACTTGAGTGTTGTAGATTTGCAGTCAGAAAACCTTGGTTCAAATCTTAGCTCTCCCACATCTTACTTGTTGTGGGTTTTTTAATGTCACTTGCTCATCTGTAAACTAGAGGACTACGTGACCTTTAAGATCACTTCTAATTCTGAAATCCTATAATTGTTAGTGCAAAAAAGGAAGCATAGCACACCACTTCTGGACAGATAAACCACCACAGACATTATGCAAATAAACTGTTTCAAACCATTACCTTTTTGTCAATTTCGCTGTCAGAATCACTCCCAGATGAGCTTGAAGAAACAAGTTCCTTTGATTTGGGCATCCTAGAAAGAAAATATATTGTAATAATGTCTTAAGTTAATTTTAAATGTATTCTAATCATTTTAACTTAATTTCATGCCATAGAAGAGCCACAGGTCAAATTCTACTACAAATAACTTATGTTATAGTCAATCTCTATGGTAGTAGGAGTGCTATAATAAGTACATTGCTAGAAATCTCACTTCCAGACTGTGTGAACTAAACAAAACAGAGTATAGCAGCAAATTACCAAGTGAAAAAAAGTATCCTGAACCCAGAGGGAGCAAAGAGGGAAGTGAAATACAAACACCAAAATTTTCCCCCATGCCCCTGGTTTTTTTGAGTTTATTATTCAACTTAATTTAACAAATGTTAAACATTTATTGTGAGATTAAAACAAATTTAAAGACAAGGCCCCTACCCTATTGGGGGATGAGGGGAAAGGGGATACCATACACACATAAAATTCTGTACTGTGGTTCAACGGAGAGTGCTGAATTTAGAATCAAAGGAGCTAGGTTCAAATATTGGCTTTGTCACTTACCACCTTGGGCAAGTTACTATCTGGGATCCTCAACTGTAAAAGGTCCCTCTCAGCTCTAAATCTATCATCCTATTACATTACATTAGAGAGGTACAAAACGAAATGCTATGATAAGATACAAAAGGGAAGATTCTTAATATCAGGGAAAACTTCATGAAGGAAGTAGCATTTGGAACATTTAAAACAGGGAAAACAGTACAAAATAATGTTGAAAAATAGAGTGGACATCAAATTGAAGAATGCCTTGAATGCCAAAGATGTCTAAATTCAATAGGCAATTCAAGGAATCACTCAGCCTAGAAGTAACAAAGTTTAGAAGATGGATTAGAAAGAAGAGAATGAAGGCAGAAAATCCGTAGATTTCTGCAATAGTCCAGATGGGTGTAAATAAGGGTTTTGTACTAGGATGGTAGTAGTGGAGACAGAGATAAGGGGGAAAGGAGTGAGGTATTTGAGGATAGCATGAAAGAAGAGCGTTGGTAGTAAATTGTATGAAGCTGGAACAAAAACTGTGGGTTACTCAGCTGGGCTCTGCTGTCCTACTTCCCACTAGGAAAGCAAAGAACACACACAATAAGACATTTGTTAAGGAGAGATATAAGGTCAGAGATAGCATTTGAAATTCAGGATTATTCACTGGATAGGATTATATTATTTCAATCAACAAATATTGAGTGCCTACTATGTGCAAAATATTGTGATGTAAAGACTGGCATGATTATGATTGCTACCTTCAAGGAAATTATCAGGACAGGAAAATGGGGGAAGAGAGCATATGGTAGGGAGAGATGGTAAATACACAAATAACTACAATAAAAGGAGAACATGATAGGTACCACAGAATTTGGAGATGGTTATAGTGTAAAGCTCACTGGCAAGGTGCAGAGAGCAGCACTAGCCCAGGAGTCAGGAAGACGCGAGTTCAAAATCCCACCTCAGACACTTCACTAGCTGTGTGACTCTCTGGGTAAATCACTTAACCTGCCATTTGCCTTTTTATGTTATCTGCAAAATGGAGATAATAGTAATACCCATCTCTCAGCCTGGTGGCCAGAATAAAATTAGGTATCTTTAAAGCACTTTGCAAACCTCGGAGTGCTATATAAATGCTAATTGTTTGTTTGTTTGTTTTTTAAGTAATCCCAGCCTTGAAACTAATCTATTATGTGACCTTAGGCAAGTAATTTCATCTCCGTGGGGCTGAATACAAAGTTAGCACTTGATAAATCCTTTTTGATTGAGTGATGATACCTAAGGTCCTTTCTAGTTCTAACATTTTCTTTAACTCAGAGTGCTATAGGAATAGAGTAAGAAGAGATGATATACAATTGGGCAATATCTCTTGGAAAACCTCATGAAGTAGGTAGCACTAGAGGTTCTGAATGGATAAAACAGTCAGCACAAGTACAGTAAAGGGAATAGTAAGTTAAAAGAAAGAGAAGGGAAAAGCATTTAGTAAGCTCCCACTACATGCCAGGCACTGTGCTTAGCACTTTACAAGTATTATTTCATTTAATCCTCACAACCACCCTGGGAGCTAATATTATCCCCATTTTACAGCTGAGGAAATTGAGGCAGACATTTAAATGACTTAACCAGGGTCACAAAGCTAAAGTCTAAGGCTGGATTTGAACTCAGGTATTTCTGATTCCAGGTCTAGCACTGTGAAATGTGCAAGATGTGCATTCAGGAACCAGCAGGTAATTTGATTTGAATTGAGCTTCCTTTTAATGTAAGTCGGTAATAGGGAAATAAGGCTGAGCCTACCTAGAGCACTGAGGTCCTAGAATGCCAACCTGAACACAAGGGAATCCATTAAAGGTTTCTGAGCAAGAGAGTAGTAAGACTCTACAAACTTTTATATGCAGATATATTTGTCATTTCACATTTAACATTTCACATTAGTTTTATTAACACTTTCTTAATTTTCACATAGCACTAAGACAAAGCATTATCCAGTAATCAATGTAACCTGTCACTCTTCTTTTCATACCTAGGGCTAACCCAGTACTAATTATAGGTTTTCACAATTCACAAAGTTATAAGTAATCAGTTAGTTCCTAATACTATAATAAACCAGAACAATTACCAACTACATTACACCTACTTCAAAATAACCCTACACTTGAAAAACACTTCATCTTGCCCTGACACTTCAAAGTTTAATTCAGGATAGACTTATTAGTACAAACCAAACTGGGTATTCTGAGATTCCACCTCTTCTTCCTTTCTAGAAAATCAAAGTAATGAGAACATCTTCAATTTTTTCCTCAAGTCAATCATTAGTAATCACCTGTGTACAGCTGAAAATACATGCTAAATAAGCTTCAACATGTTCCTTATTAGGTCAAGGTAAAAATAAAAAAGTGGGACATCTTCCATTGGCAGCTTACTCCAAAAGTAAGCATCATACCCTTAAAATAGTTCTGTCAATTTTGATTGTTAAAATCTTGAAGGTGAAGAGTAAAAAGATAGGATACTACAATTGTTCATATTCACCTACTTTAAATGGTCAAACTCTTAAAACACACTATTTACCACCACCCGGAATCGCTGTCAATAGACTAACTTCAACTTTCTGCCCTAGAAGCCAGTACTCTGAAAGGATGAAAAATCATGAATTAAATATAAGCCATTTCAATTCACCTAACTACTAAAGCATAATCTCACCCAACTCCTTTAGTAAACACTTCCCTGGAAGATATTTAATAATCATCACCACAAGTATCTTTTCAAAACAGCAGTACAGATTTCATCTAGATTAAGAACTAGCTAAACGGTAAACAAACCAAACTCAAAACAACCAACGCCTTAACATAAAACCAGCTTCAATTCACATTCATTCTGAAAAGACAGCATTTCTCAAAAAAAACTAAGCTCTTTTAAAAAATTTTTCCTTAACAGTATCTGCTCAACATTAATCCTACCTAATTTAAGCAGGAGAGGAAGGTTGTCCAGGATAGGTTATACAATGCATGCAATGTGAAGAAAGGTGTCTTGTCTTTCAGGATGGATGGATGGGGGCGGGGGAGGGGGAGGAGGAGGAGGGTGATAAATAAGGAGAATCAGCACCAGAAGGCCAGGAATCTACAATGAAAAGGAGAAGAGAAACTGCAGAAGATGGAAGGTTAGGAAGGACGACTTGTGGAGGGGGTGCGCGGTGCACTAAGCAGCCGGGGCCGGGAAGGGCTGGTAGCTGGGGGCCCTGGGGGGGGGGGGGGGGGGGGGGGGG